AACTGCTTTTTCTAAATGTCAAAAGTGACTTTTGACAAATAATTATAAGACAAACACTTAAAAGAGGACATAACTAAAAGCAAGTTCCTTTTATGATTGGCACAAGCTTTTATGGATACACTTTGATCATATGACAAGTTGAGCTGACTTTTTTCTTCCTTTTAAGGCCTTCTAGCTACAAAGCTATTAAGTCACATGAGTTCTTTAAGGTGCTCATCATCATCTTGATCTATATCATGAGTAGGTCCTGGTACTAGTGTGTCCTTTAGCTCTGGGAATAACTGATAATCTGACTCTTTATCTAATATGGGTCCTGGTTGTCTGGTAGAAGTGTTGGAGGTATGGAAGATGATGATACTCTATCATAGGATTCCATCTAGGTGGAGTATCCTATTTATACAATAAGGCTTGTGAGCCATTCAAAAAATTCAGATTGAATAAATGGAGATAGGTCACTTGACAAAATAGGCTGATAAGGTATTAGATCGAGAGATGTGCACTTAAGATGAGTATCTGGAATCAAATAATTATTTATTTCACATAAATATTCTTTTAATTCAATTAAGGTAAAATTTTCATGTGTTATCTAGTTGGTAGCGGTCTTCTATAAGCATGCTTGGTTAGCCACATAAAGCTTTCCTTTATTGTTATGGTGATAGGGATGATGAACCATGAAGGAGTAAGCCTTTTGTTCTTGTAAAGGAATTTTCCATAACAATTCCTTTTGAACCATTCGAGAGATTTCCTTGCGCCATTTAGGAATAGGCAAGAACCATTCAAGGAGTCTATATAAGGTTGAACCTTCATGAGCTAAGTCATGTAAATAATGATACATCTCTAAGGGAAGAATAGTTATAACACATATATAAATAGAGGATAAAGATTAAATGTACCACATGAGTTTAGCTGGAATATGGCCTTGTTGAAAGGGATAGCAAGGTAAAGAGCTTAAATATCAAAATGTTTAAGTTGGGGTTAGATTTGAGTCTTTTGAAAGAGGATGTGGAGCTAGTAAAACAAACTTCTTATAGCTAACTTTTAAACTTTTGGGACAATGGTTGGGTTATAGCCTGGTGGAAAAACTAAGTTACTAGACATGATGTTTAGAATGAAGAGGGATGGCTCCTTTAGAAGGGTAATGAGATTAATCTTTTTTTATGATCTAGTAGCTTGGTCTTAAGTAGAGAAGGAGGTGGTGGTTTTGTAAGAAAGGATTTTTTTAGGATTTTAGTAAATGATGTGAGGCTTGATGGTCTTGAGAAGGTGGATTATACAATACAGGTGCTTTTGGTTTTGTGGGCAATTTTTTATGGGCTTTTCTAAAAACTAGATAAGACATCTTAAACACTTTACTATAATCAGTCTCAATTGGATAGGTTGGGTGTATAGAGGTATACATTAGGAACTATCTGGTCATAGTAAGAAAGGTTAGATAAGACCAATAAATAGTCCTAGACTGTTCTTGGGCTAGGTCTTCTTTTATTTGCTATAACTGCTTTTTAAATTTAGAAATTTCTTTTTGTTTTCTGAATTATTTTGGTCTATCATATCCTTGGTCGATAAACCTGCGAAGCTCTGTATCTAACTTTTGTTCTTATTTATAAAGTCATTGATACAGATTCTGTAACCAGTTATTAATTCGATTAGCTTATGAAGACATGTTTTCTATTGTGGTTGTTAGATGATCAAGTTTGGAATCTATCTTGTGAATGACTCTATTTTGACTAATAGCATTCTAGGATTGCCAGTTGAGAACTTCTACTGCTGGTGTAAAAGGCTTGAAAGTACCTTGAGGAGTTTTGTTTTGGGGAATAAAAAGTCTATTAGATACCTTTATTCTGTCATCTATTTTTCATTCAAAAGAAGGAAATTATTCCTCATAGGGTTTTCTCATTGTGATATAAGGTAAAGCTTATACTAGTACAAGCAGGATTGTTTGAATTATTGGTTTTGGCATTTTAGAATGGCTAGTATCACTGGATCTGGTTTTTTTAAAAGGAAGAGATCTTCATGGCTAATTTCTTTAAGGTGTTCAAAAAGAGTACTCCTTTCTATGAGAGGATTTGGAGGTCATGCCCATCTTCTTTTAATAAGTTATTTGGGCCCACTTGTCGTCATCATCTAGGATGCTTGGGCTTCCTAATTCTTTTTCTTTTAGAACTATAGTCATCATTATTAGAATCGTTTTAGAGATAACAGTCATAACTAGGATTGCACATTTCTGGAGCACAAACCCAAATAAAGTGACCATTGATATATGAGACATAAATAGGTTGAGCATCTATATCAAACCACTCAATCAAAGGGTGTTCCTTATCTACAGAGAATGCTGGTGAAATGGACATAATCCTACTAAAGATCTAGTTTGAATTTTAAGTTCCAGGTTTCTTGAAAATAGATTTAATAATACCATCCTACATCTTAAAAAGAATAAGAGGTTCTACAATATAGATATCCTTTTGATCACCATGAAACTGTTGGTCGTAATTGTTGATGCATTCTAAAGGCATCATATTGGCTAACTGTTTAGTAGGTAGTTGTCTCAAAATTTGCAAAGTTGATGGATTCTTTAAATTATTTTTGACCATAAATAAAGGATCACCAGTTGATTAGGAAAATTAAGATCAATGAATGATCTTGAAGTTTGAAAATCATCTAGTGGTGAAGAGTGGCCATGATAACATTAGGTTCTTATTCAGCTTCATGAATTTGGATCTGAACTTTTAGTCTCTTAAAAAGAGTCTTGTTAGTAAGTTTGATATTGAAATTAGATGCTATGGTGAGAACTACACTTCCTTGGTTAAGAGTTGTCAACATGGCTTCGATCAAAATATTGCCATATGACTTGAAGATAGTGTCTAATAAAGCAACCTTAGCTATAGTTGCTATTTCTTTTCTTCCATAAAATGTAAGGATAAGGCGAATAGATCCAACATGAAAGCAGGTAAAACCCTGGTTGATCCAGGCATCAATCAAAGGTTGAGCTATTTTAAGGGTGATATACTATTTAGCAGTGGTAGCAAGAATACCACACTATTTTATATTGGAGGTTTGGATTATTTATTTTTGCTAAAGTTAGTTTGAGTGAATCAAAGTTCTAATACCTCGAGTAAAAAGGTTTCCTTGATGATAAAGTTTATAAGGGTTAAGGAAAGGAAGTTAGGAAAATGGAATACGGGCATCTTCAGGAATAATGGTATATTTTATAAGGTTTTCTATTTTTTAAACAAGGGTCCTTTTCATAGAGGAGGGAAGATGATCAAAATAAAAAGCTAAAGAAAGATTAACAAGGTCAAGAACTGTAATAGGGGTTTCTGAAGAAGAGCTTTTTGGAAATCCATTCATGTCTTTTAAAATTCTCTTTACTCACTTTTATCAATAATATATAGCATCTGTCAATAAAGAGATATGCCTTATAAATTGGGACAGAAGTATTGTAATATAATGATAAAATAAAGTAATAAATCTTAATACTAATAAATAAATATCCTTATCCAAGTATCATTAATGGATAACCCTACAATATCTCAAATTAACCCTAATTATCCTAATTAACATTTATCTCATATTTTATCATTTCTCCCTCGTTTGAGGAAATTGACTCCTAGCGAGTTAAAATTAAGGCACAAATCCAGAGAAGAGAGGGTAGGGTGAGGTAAAATCTTAGCCTAGTGTGTAGATCCAAAAATCTTTTCCAACAGGTAAGGTAGCATGAATTGAGTCATGTGGAAGACAAATTTGATTATGAGAAAACAGTAAAAAAACCCTTATAATAGACAAGATATTGTGTAAGCTATCTGTTAGGTGATAAGACATCCTTGGCAAGTACAACTCGTAGATGAGGTATAGTATAGTGAGATTGGTTTTGGCTTATCACAACTCGAGAAGGTGCCTTTTGTATACTCATAGTAAGTATAGGAGCTTTTAATGGAGCTTGTTGTGGTAAAAGTGCTAGAGTGGACAAATAATTATCATGATTTGGTTCCATGATAGTTACAATAAACTCCCTGATTTTAGTCAGGAGCTTCAGCCTCTTTTTAGGTGATTTCCTAGAATGTGATAATCTATCAACAAACTTTTAATGTATTCTTCTTAGATTTCATGTTCCATTTCAACTTTGGCTTCAACCTTATGGCATTCAAATTTAACCATTCACCTTTCAATTTTAGTCTAGCAATGTTTATGCTTATCTTTCTAACATTCATATCTAGTCATTCGGTGTTCATTTTCAACCTTGCATTGTTGGCCATACACATCCTAGTAGTAACACCACTCATCATAATGTTCAACTAGTAGCCTTCATAAAATTGTAGATGCTAAACATATCGAGGTATGGTGCCATAATGATTTTGACACTTCTTTCACATGAACTCTTGGCAAAGCCATATAAAATCATGAATATAAAAATTTAAATACCCTTCAAATATTTTACGTGATGATCTATAACTTCACGAAAGTTATGGGATGGCATAGACTACATGAAACAAAGTAAAAACAATGAAACATGCACACTTGCTAGCATATGTGGGGAGATGATTAGATCTCACATCAAAAAAGGAGCTCCGATGTGTTCAACGTGTGACACCCACATATAAAGGATTTAAATAGTATGTATAAAGGCATGACATGGCTTTTAGTGATGTGGCATGGTGGTTTAGCCGAGTTCCTAGAGGCACTAGTGATCATTGTAGCTGTAAAGTATTTCAATATTGAGAAGATATGGTGAAAAACAATGGCCTACACAAGCTAGATGGGGTCATTGTGCCTTGTTTAGTTGAGATGTTTCATGGATCTCAAATAAGGAAAGCCCTACAAGTTTGCAGGGAGGGGAGGTAGGAAATTGGCTTTAGTACCAATTGATGTGAAATGGGAAGGGAATAAGAGGAGAAATAAGGAAAGGAGGGGGAGCAAGAAAGGAGGCTGATTGAGAAAATATGCTCTATATTTAATGCTTAAAATCTAGTCTAAATTATAAAGCTTTAGAATCATTAAAATAATAATAAAATAATAAATTTAAATCTAATTCAAAATTTAAAGATAGTGATAGGATTCTCATGTCTTATTTTATTAAAGATAAATAAACCTAAGATAATGATAAAATAAAGTAATAAATCCTAATACTAATGGATATACATCCTTATTCAAATATTCCTAATAGATAACTCTAATATCTTAAATTAACCATAATTATCCTAATTCATCTTTATCCCATATTCTATCACTATACTTGTCCTTTGACGACATTCTTCTTCAAGGTATCAATAAACCTAATTTTCTGTTTATAATCACTGCTTGACAAGAAGTCAAGAAAATCCTTGAAGCTACACTCTTCATAAAAGCTTTCACGTTCTTCATTTACCAGAAATGGTGCAGGCCTGATTTTTTCCTCTAATGCAAAACTATTAACATTTGCAATGGAAATTCGATTATGATCTGAACTAATTGCTTGATGAATCACACTCTTATATATTCCATTGCTTAGTACTTCCATTTGATCTCCCAAAAGTACTATCAATGCTCTTTCATTAAACGGTGTATTAACCCATGTATCATCACTGTTCTTGATTTGTAGCCCTGGATAACTCTGAAGTAAGATTGTAAGTAAGCCATGATCTGTGTGAGGTGCTACGCCTGAAGTGAGGTTTGGTTCAGCGCTGAATGGATATGAGTTCACAGCCAGGACGTGCATGCCTTCTTCAATTTGTTTTTGCATGGAGCTAGGGTTTATATCCAAGCTCTCCAGAACAAGATTTGTAAGTAGATTTTGAAGCTCTTGCACTGCCATCACGTATTGCCCCATTTTTTCCCTGTGAAAGTGCTTTCAATATTTCAGAATCTAAATAGAAGTTTCATTGACTTGAAAAATAACATATGAAAAGAAGAGAACTACGTATGATTTTCATTGACACTTAAAAAAGCTTATAATTGCGTACTAAGAAAAGTATTATGGAAAGTCTCAAACAAGATCAATGTTGCATATATCAAAATCAAATATGTATGAGGAGATAACTAGTTAGCTTATAAATGTCTGATTCATAATAAGAAAAATGACTTTCCTGTAAATATATATTGAGCTATTGGCCTATATCAAGGATTGACTTTTAGTCCTTCCATGTTTAACTTGATTTAGATATTATTCTAACCATGTATAAAAGAAAATTTCCACATGCATACTTTTTTGCTTACTATATAATACTCATTATGACATAGTCAAGATAAGTGATTAACTCATCCAAAGTATAATACTTTCCACCTGAGTAAGAGTATGAAAAAAATACATACATTACAAATTTGATAAAAAGTCAATTAGTAATCATTTGAAGTTTACCACAAGTAAAAAATTTTAGATGTCTGTGACAAATTATACAAAATAATGGTGAAATTATTTATGATTGGAAAATATGTAATAAGCTAAAAGGGAAGTAATAATTATTTATTTCAACAATACAGGTAACACGTAGGGTACCCTTAAGCCCATCTCACCAATAAAAGAAGTTTTGAATTGGTAGCCTGAGAATGCTGTCAATCAAAACAAAGTGCTATATAGAATTGACTCTAAGCTTGATCATCTGATAACAAAAATAGATACACTGTCTTTATAGGTAAATTAGATGGATGATTAAGTGAAATGTCTATATGATAAACTCTATAGAAAAGAATAGAAACTAGATGCAAAACTTCAAAAATATATCGATGAAATGTGTTCTAGACCTAATTTCTTCAAAAAGAAAAGAAATTTCTAAAGTAAGAAAGCAACTACAGCAAATAGAAGTAGACTTGACTCAAGACCAATCTAGGACTTTCTATGAGTCCTATCCTACCTATCCAACCATGACCAAACAGTCTACCTCCTATACCTCCATATACTCGGCTTACCCAATAGAAAATGACTATAGTAAGACATTCACTATGTTTTATCCTATTCTCAAGAAAGCCTAGAAAAAGCCATCCCAAAAATCTAAAACACCTCTTTCTCACCCAGAAGATTTATCCTTTACCCAAAAACCACCTTATACTCAATCACAAGAAATGCCAAGCCACACCATCTTTTACTAAACCACTTGAAAAACCCTTAAAAATCAAACACCTCATCCTTTACCATTAAAGCAAAAACCACCCCCTTCAACTGATAAAGCCAAAGGGATTGCAAATCTAGATTCCTTAAGAATTATTTCTTCTATTCGAAAAGCTATCTTTGATCAGGTTTATTTTGAGAAAGAAGATACAGACTCAGTTGTCTCAACTAGCATCTCTATATAAAACACAAATTCTGAAGAAGATTAGTATCTAGTTGATCTATCACAAATTGCTATGGTACAGCCTCAATTTAAAATAGATGTAGTAGATCTTCTTAATGATGAATCAGAAATTATAGGAGACAACTTAATCAAAACTAATAAACATGGCCCTAGACCTACTTATGGACCTCGATTTACTTTTCATGATCTACCTCCACATAAATTAAGAGAAAGATTCCTTAAATTTGGTGCATGAATTGATTTGCATATGACCAGACTAGATGTGATTTTATAAGAAGTACTCTCAAAATTCCTCTTAAGAATAACTGAAAACGCGAAAGAATGGTTCCAAAACTTTAGTGAGTAATAGAAGATTCAAGTAGCCCAGCTTGATGTAGCCTCATTTCTTAGGAGGATACACAAAGAATTTCTTAGAGATTTTAATCTTGTTGATAGAAGAAACATACAGGACTTCTTAAAATGAAATGTCGCTCCTTGAATCACAAAGATTTGAAAAGCATTTTCAAAGAATGTCAAAAAAAATATTATATGTTGAATAGTGCTAATGATGTCTACCTCATTACTTCTTCACTAGATGAGCTTCAGCCAAAATTACATAAAGCCATGAATAGAGTCGGGAATAAGGGCTGAGCCTGAAGGGCTAGGTTTTGAGGCCTTGTTTAAATAAGAGTTCGGCCTTTAAAAATATTTTTTAAGTAATAGGACTTGAGGGCTTGGCCTTAATCAACCCTGTAAAAAAGGTCTTGAGCCCGGGCGACCTTTCAAGCCCTGTTATATTATTATTATTATTATTTTTAATAGAACACGTGTTTGAAACTAATGACCTACTCACTTGATCCTACACGCATTATATTATTATTAATTTTAATTTATTCTAAAATTAATTTAATATAATTTAATAAATATAAGTGTATAGTATAAAATTTATGATATTTTTTATTTTTCTATAATTATTATGTTTGTATATTTATAAAAAATGAACTTTTTTTTAATCAAGATTTAAATTTTATTACAAGACTTTTAAATGTATGTTGTTTAATTTCTAAAAAATTATGAGGATTTTATTTTTTTATTTTAGAATATTTTAATTAATTATAATATTTAATTTTATTTTAATTTTTTTATTTTTTGAAAAAGGGCTTGTGGGCCCGGCCCTAAGCCCTTCACATAAGAGTCAAGCTTGAAAAATGAGGTTCAAAATGAAAAACTAGGTTTTAGGACTTAGGCCCATAAGGGCCAGCCCCTTAAGGGCTGAGCCTCCCTATATTCCCAGCTCTAACTATCAATGCATTATGAAATGATATACCACAAATCTCTCTTAGAAATATTTACCAATTAGCTATATCCATTATGGATAAACTCTGTGAGCAATAATAACTTCTAAAGTCCATGTTCGAAAGCAAACCAAAGTTACATATAGCTTGTAAGAAACCTTATCTGAAGATTAAGTATAAGGAACATAAACCATGTTCCTGCAAAAAGAAAAGCCATTTTCACAAATACAGGCATAGATCCTTCAGACCCAAGAAATGTCCTTCAAGATGTTTCAAAAGAAGGACTTTAAGATTAAAAAATCAAACAGACATTTTATCGGTGGACAGAAAAGGCATTTTGTGAAAAAGTGTCCTAATAAGTCTAAGAAAGACATGAAATTATTATAGTCCTTTAAAACTATTGTTGCCCTTGATAATGATCAGGATGTTAAGTCTATTCTTGAAGAATAACTTGATAGAGAAGAAGAACCTTGATATGTTCTTCCAGTATCAAATGATAACTCAAATAAGGAACAATTTCTACATCAATACCTACCTTTGTATTCCATTAGACTAATGTTTGATCTAATCCAAAGTCTTAGTTTTGCCTCCTTTAAACCCTAACCTTCTGAGATAAACATATGTACTAAAATTTTCAAAGTTCAAAAAAAACACACCTACCTCTAGACCCTCTCAAGATATGAATGAAAATTTCAATGAAGAGCAGTTGTGCTCTAGATCTCTCTTTACCAAATAGCTTAGAAAAGAGGAAAGATCTGGCTTAACATGTTATCAGATCATGACTGCATCCACAAGATTCTGCGATAATTAAGGCCTCATACTCAATCATGAAGAAAGGAATCCACTTTACCTTAATTATGTTTTCTTTTGTTAGAGTTTATTTTATCTTGTAGTAATCTTTGCCACAAGCTACTTTTAACTTTTGGACAAAATTATTTATTTTAGTTAAGTCAGTCACTTTTACTTTTACTTTATATCATATTTATGTATACATGCAATATTAGTTTATCCTATTGTAATTATGAAAATATCCTCTTGATCCTCCTCCCTTTGTTTGTATAAGGAGGTTTTAGTATGTTGTAAGGCAAAACTAGTTTTGGAGAAATAAAAATTTAGTGTGTTTCTCAATTATGTCTCTATAAACTCTCTCCTCTCTTTTGAAAGCTTGATTCATACTGAGCAAAAACATAAAGACCTTTTAACCCATTCTACAAGATAATTCAATAGTACAGGATTGTGCTATCATCCCACAAATATCATATTGTTGTTGTCTAGATAAAATTTTTAGGGATGATCATTCAAGATAGACAGTATCAGCCAAGTTCACATATTGCTAATGCATTATTAAATTTTTCTGATGAAAACTTATCCAGAATACAAATTCAACAGTTCTTGGGTATAGTAAATTATATTAGAATTTTATTTCTTAGGTGTCTAATCAAACCAGCCAGTTGTCCAGATTGTTGTGGAAAAATCCATCGTCTTGAGAATCTAGCCAGACAAAAGATGTCCAATATTTGGAGCAAGTTTATCAACATCCTTCTCCACTAAGGGTTCCTCATAAAGGATAGAGAATTTTGCAAACAAATACAAGTGGTGTCAAGCAAGGGTACTCTAGATATGCCTGCAATACCCTTTCTCCCTTGAATGGTTAAAAGACTCAACGGATGGCTCTAATATAGAGGTGTGTATGCCCTTAGTTGATCCAAGTATCAATCAAAGGCTAAGCAATTCAAGGGTGACATATTATGTAGTTATGGTGGTCGAAAGACCACACTGGTTAAGCTTAGATGTTTAGATAACCTCTTTTGGATGAGGACAGTTGGTGTGAATCAAAGTTTGATTCCTCATGTGAATGAGTTTCCTCTATGGTATAGCTTATAGGGATTAAGAAAAGAAAGTTATATAGGTAAAATACGAACATTTTCTGGTATAATAGAGTATTTTATGAGATTTTCTATTTTGTCTGAAAGGGTTCTTTTTATAATGGGAGGAAAATGATAAAATAGAACCCTTTCTAGTAGTGATACACTACTAGAAAGGGTTCTATTTTGTCTAAAGAAAGATGCACATGTTCAAGAAATGTGGTTGAACTTTCTAGTAGTGTATCACTCATATTTTATAAATTCTCTCTACTCACTTTCATTAATAATATCTTGCTTCTATTAATAAGATTATGGCTTTGATACCACAAGTAACAAAAACGAGAATTAAGATGGATATGTGCATATCAAAGATAATTCATGGTGATCATATTATATGAGGAAGAGTTAGTGTGACAACTATTGAGAGGAAATGATTGAAAATTATTTAAAATAATTTAGACATGTATCGAAAAAGCAATTGGAAGAACCAATGAGGAAGGGTGCAACAAAAAATCTTAAGCATTATATGAAGAATGTTAGAGAAAGAATAAAGAGAGCACTCAATAAAATTATTAAATGAAACCTTTTAATTAACAATATTTTTGAAGATATGGCTCTTGTTCTTGTTGTTATCTTAAGTGATAAACCAATCTAAACAATCCAACATCAATCATAATTAAATTTAAACCAACAATTTTATATTTATCATTTTCTCTATGAACCTTGCTAGTCTTAGACTTTTCACTTCCTATGGATATGATTAGCATGAGCTAATAGAAAACGCATGACTAATTTTGCTAATATCCAATAATTTAAGGGTTGCACTTGCACCTAGACGTTTAAGTGGAAAAAAAGAGCAATTCACCATTCAGTAGTCTAGTTACAATTACAATTTAATTAGTATGATTACACAATAATAAATATAAGGGAAAAATGAGAGTTACAGAACTTGTAAAGTATTAATAACAATTAAAGACGTTAAATTATTGAAATGTAAGTATTATAATGTTTATTTGTAATTTAAAAATATATAATTATTAAATAATAATTATTAAAATGTGTGATTCATAAATTTGAGTAAAGGTATTGTAAATTTAAGTAATGTTAGTTGCAAATCAATGAAAAGCTAATGGTGAGTGGATAAATAGATTTATTAATTTAATTATATATCATCATATAAGTTTAATGATAGTCATTTATAAATAAATTTTAAGGTTGATAGTGAATTTTTGAAAATTCAATTGTAAATAAATAAATAATCTTATAAATTTATGCATCACTTATTATTCAATAACACTCAATTGTAAATTTAAAAAAAATATTACTTGTAAATATATGAAATGTTAGCTATAAATGAATATAAATAGACTTAATTATAATTAATGATTTAAGGACATATCATATTTTTAAATATCTATTCACAACTAACTTTAATAATTTATAAATAAATATTTAAAATTCACAAGCAATTCTTCCTTAAATGAACAATGAATATGTCAACACTTTATTTTTTATATATTTACAAGCAATTTTTTTTAAATTTACAATTAACTTTTTAAAGAAAATGATGATGACCTTCTATTAATTATTTTAATAATTAAAATATTCAAATTGTAAATAAAAATTATGGTTCCTTTTCAGAAATTCAATATTTTGAGATTTTCGATTTGCTATTAATACCTTTATAAGAGTCCCAATAATAATCATTTTCCCAAAATATTTAACCAAATCTATATGAATTGAATACTATTACAGGACATCATAAATCCATACCAGGAGACGTCGAAACCCTTTTAAACAATTTTAAAAAAAAAAATCTTTAGACTCTTCTTTTTTTTTCTTTTCTTGGAGGGTCCAGATCATCCAGATTTATTTTATTTTATTTTATTTTATTTGGGAATTATTAAATCTGGACTGATATCTCAATTAGATTCAGATACATCATCATAACTTACTTGAAATTCGGAGGGTTTGCAGGCCAGAGATGGATCCAATTTGAGATTGGATGAGTGTAAACCTTAAGGAAACTTCTCTGAAAGTAAATTTCTTCTTCCCTCACATCATCAGTTCTGATATTCGTACTATATCTCACTGGCTTAGAACATCATCTGAAGCTAGACGCCTCTTCTCCTCCTCTGGCAACTCAAAGAACTTCGTTGCTGTGTCTATGGCATCTTTTGTAACAGACTCAGAAATTCCATGGTTTACAACCTAAGAAACCCAGAAAATGAGAAATAAATCAAACAACCTCCATTTGTACTAATGAAAAAGTGTGTGTAGATACCTGAAAGAAGCCGATTTGTTTGCATGCAGTCTGAATTATTTTTATTGTTTGAGATCTGGAAGAAGGATCCTTCAAAGACGAAAGGTCTATCAAAGGAAGGGTGATTAACGCACTCATTTTTCTTCTTCTTCACAAATCAACCACAGAGCCTCACAAAAGAACCTGATAATGCGAGTAAAGCAGGTGAAAAGAAACAGTGGTCGAGCAGATTTGAAAGGAAAGTGAATTCTCCAGAACATGCAGACACGTGTCCTCATCGATCTTTGGATTCTTCCTCGTTACTGTCACAAGCTGATGCGTGGAGATTGGAAACAGACAAAAACAGTTGCAGAAAAGCACAAATATGATGTAGGGTAGGTCGGTGCACTTAATAGATAAAAATTCTAAGGTTAAAGGCGCGTCGCTCGTACAGGTATTGTATTATAGAATTGATTAACTAAACGTTTGAAATTTGAAAATATTAATTAAATGGCATCATTGAATAACTTTTCTGAGTATTCTGATTTTTTTTTTTTTGGGCTTCTTTCCCCTACCGGAGATTGAGATTATTATTTTACTGTTCCTGCCAGTCCCCCACATAGCCTTTTCTGTATGCACGCATATGTATGTATAGGTTTGTCATCTTTTTTTCTCAATAATATTGTACTTATTTTTTTTCACATATGTGTAGATTCATGTTTTTAAAAAAATTAAATGTAAATTAAAAAATTAACAATTTATAATTTATTATTCAATTGGGTTGAATCATAGTTAAATTAGTGATACAATAATTAAATTAAAAATTATAATATATAATAATTTAAAAATATAAAAATAAAGTATGAAATTGTTACTTAATTTAAAAAAATTAAATATTTTAAGTTTATCATGAGTTAAAAGTCCACATGATACAATATAACATCAAAAATTAAAAAATTGGTCATTTCTAAAAGAAATGATAAAAAATAAAAAAATTTATTGAACAGTTCAATTTTGAAAACCGATTGATACTTGACTTAATTCCAATTTCTAGTCCAGCCATTGGTTCTTAAAACAGCCCAACCTAGCTCAATCCCAAAACAATTTTTACATATCAACCGAACTAGAATCTGGACAGATTCGATCGTCCGGTTTGGTTTTTGAATCACTGGTGCAGATTTTATCTTTTTGCACATATTCACACACATCTATTTGATCAACATTTTCATCTCTCTCTTCTACTCTAATTTATATGATATATTTAATTATTACTGGCATAATGCAGCTTCACATTTATTATATAATACTCAAACATCAAAAAATAAAGAATATATATATATATGAGAATTAAATATTAATATTTTTTTATACTACAACAACAATAAGTTTATCCTACTAGATAGAGTCGACTATATGAATTATATAATATTATTATGCTATATCATTATTAGGCTTTTGAAAAATTTGTTAATTAAGATATCTCGATCAACAATTTTAAAAGTGTTCTTTTTAACATTCTTCTACACCCTTCTTAAAAGGGTTCAAAATCTATTCCACCCTCCTTACAAATGCCACTCATAATCTTTTACGTACATATTCAAACCATCACAATTAATTTTTTATTATTTTTTTCAATAGGTGCAACGCCTATTTTTTTAATGTGCTCTTATTTAGTATTTTATCTTTACATATATATATATATAATTCATACATTTATGTTAATATTTTCATCCATGCTACTTCAATTTTATATATTCATTGTTATATATTTTTATTGATTTTATAATAATTGAATGGAACTTTGTTTTTAAGTCTATCCAAGGAGGGTGATTAACGCACTCATTTTCTTAACAAATCAACAACAGAGTCCCACCAAAGAACCCGATATGAAAGAAAGAAAGGGCAGGAAGCTTTGAGCGGATTAGAAAGAAAAGTAATTCTCCAGACCATACAGACACGTGTCGTGATCGATCTTCGGATTCTTTTTCGTCACTGTCACCAGCTGATGCGATGGAAATTGCAGACAGACAAAAATTGCAAGAAAGGACTACTGATGTAGGGTGGCCGTGCACTTAATAAATAAAATTGCTAAGGTTGAAGACGTGTCACTCGAACAGGCATTGCGTCGTTGAATTAATTAACCAAACATTAAAATTTACAAAATTAATTAAAAAAGACGAGAATAAAATCTCTTTAAAACATATACATAATAATTTAATTTTTTAAAATATTATAATTTTTGAAAAAATTTTAAAATTTTTTATTTTTAACAATTTATATAAATTTATTAATTTACAATTTTTAATTTACAAATAATTATATAAAAATAAATTTTTAATTATTCTGGTTGAAAATAAATAATTTACAAATTTTGTTTACATATTTATAATTTTTTTATATTTACAAAAAATAACAATAAATTACAATTTCATATGTTAAATTTTTTATTTATTATTTTATTTTTGTAAATATAAAAAAATTAGAAATATTTAAATAAAATTTGAGAATCATTTATTTTTAACAAAGATAATTTGATAATTTATATAAATTTATTAATGATAGAAAGTCTATAAAGATTTTTAAAAAAATGGTATTTTGAAGAATCAAATTATCATTTATATATTTTAAAAAAATTTTTATTATTTTTTTAATTAATTAATGGTGTCATTGATTAATTTTTTTTAAATATTCATTCTTTGGACTTCCTTTCCCCTAGTTTGTGATCATTTACCTTCTTACTAGTGCCTCATATGTTTAAACTATTTCAAATAATTTTTTATTATTTTTTTGAATAAATATTATACTCACTTTTTTTCTATGTATAGATTTTATTTTATTTTTTGTGCATGTGCATACACATTATTCTGGTTCATCCTTATCTCTACCATTCTAATTTATATAATCTATTTACTTATTACTAGTATTATGCAGCTCCACATTTAATCATATAATACTAAAACATCACAAATTAAAGATATATGTGTGTGTGTGAAAAAATTAAGCTTTTTTTTTTTTTCTTTCTAACATGATACATGAGGACAAATTTAGTAGTGCGAAAATTTATTTGACATACCTCTTGTTGGGTCCACATAACATTTCAAAAAAAAAAAGGTCCAAACCAAGTTACAATAATAACAAGTATGCTCCAACCATATCTTAACCAAAAATTTTAAAATATTAAGTTTTGTTTTTTTTAATACAATTGGCAAGCCAAAGCTTGAAGCTAAAGACAAGTCACGGCATCCTAAGCACTAGAACATAATGTCACAACATCTATTTAGAAAGAGAAGAAACTATAGGGTTATAGTACTTTTGGAGACATCCAAGACGATGTAGAGATTTTCAGAAAAATCCAAGACGTTTAAGAAGAATCTAATATGTTCTAAAATGTTCTAGAAGTATCTAGAATAATCTAGAGAAATCTAAAAGTTTCTAGAAGGGTTTAAAAACTTATGAAGGAATGTGGAGATATCTAAAATATTTTAAAATATTCTAGAATGTTCTAGAATATTTCACACATATCTTGAAGGTTATTGTCTAGAAATATCCTTATAAATATCTAGATATTTATTGAAGATATTTTTATAGAACACTCTAGAGGATGAATATAAACCGTAGGATTAGATTGATCTCCACCGTCCATTAAGGAGGTAAAAATTCTAGAGAAAGGGGGAGGCCTATAAATACCCCCACAACCCCTCATTTGTAAATAACAATGAAAGTAATCAAAGTTTCAAGTCTTAAGTTCTCTCATGCAAGCTCTCTTCTCTCTTGTGTTCAAGTTTCCTAGTTTCTTTGCCTACATTTGAGAGTTTGGCTGACTTAGCAAAGATCAAGAGGTTGATCACGCTAAGGCAGGCACAGTTCAAGGACTAAGAAGGATTGGGGAGTTCCAAGGTCGTGACAATAAGCTCTTTTCCTTGTTCATAATCTCTTGACAACAAAATAGAATATTAAACAGCAAATGACATCTTTTATCTTCAGAATGTGCATTCTTCACTAATAAATTAGCGTAGCAAATCAAATCCCTTATTAAGAAAGTAATTCCCACTTCCTTCAGTTGACAAAGAAAACTCCTTATCTGATAGACAATTGACATGAGAGGATGGCTTAGTCTACGCTCCCTCATTATTAATGCAATCCTTCCAATGAGTCAATGTAAATCTTGATCTTATCAAAATTTTGATCCTAACACATCTGCATGCTTGTTCTAATTCCTTCCCCAGCCCAGCTTCTATAAAAGTGCCCTTACCCACATATTGTTGAAAACCAAGAATCCATTCTCATTTGGTGTTTCTTACAACTCCCACACATGCCACATTTCCTTGTGAGTTGGCAGATCTATCTATGTCAAAACATAGGAAATCTTAGGGTGGCAACTTCCATGCTTCTTGCCCACAAGATTCAAGGTAATACATTCTCTAACATTGAGTTCGCACCTCTTCCTCTTCTAGAAGGTCGCGTCTACAAATGTGGATGATAGCCTTTGCTGAAGTAATTTTTCCTTGAAATATATATCTACATCGTGCCTTCCAAATAGTCTAGCAAATGAAACAAAAGAGTTTATGCCAGGTCCATCTTTTGAATTCTTCTATAGTAACTTCTAACTTTGTATTTTAGATTGGCCATTCCTGCAAAGATAAGCCAAAAAACTTTTATACCAATTTAGGATTAATACAATGAAGTGAGACCTCTTGGGCAATTTTGGAATCTCTAAAAAGGTGTAGAACACTCTCTCTTCTACTAGACTCATATGGGCATTTATCATCAATAAATACGCCTTTTCTAGTTTTATAAGAGTTAAAATTCTTTATTGGCTAGCTTGCCTAAGGGAAAAAAAATTGTTTTTCATGATATTCCATTTTCATAGTTTTCCAAAAACAAAAAAAAATTGTCTCACTTATGTTCCAAGTCCTTGAAAATTCATACATAGCTTTGACAGAAAAATTTTCATCAAAAGCATTCACCCATTGAAATGAATCCCCAAGATTGCCCCTAGGCACCTACTACTTTAAAATTTCATTAATGATCCCAAGAGGGAGGACCATTTACTCAAATCCCATTGACCTTCTTTGGGTCACAAAACTAGCCTAGCTAGCATGATAACCAACGGACCTATAATTTATGATAGAAAATAAATAAGAGGTTTATTCCAACCCAATTAATTATCCCACTAGAAATTTATGTATCTACTATTCCTTATTTTCCTCCTAACGCCTTTAGAGAAAGACTCT